TGCTTTGCTTGTGCGCATGGCTTTTGCTTTACCTGTTAAACTGTCTTTATCTCAGCCCACGAGTTTTCTCACTTTTACCCTTTTGATTCTCTCCCCCACCCCACCAGGGGGGAGTGAGTGAGCGGCTGCGTGGGGCTTAGTTGCCAGCTGGGGTTAAACCACAACATTTACCTAGCCAAGATTGTCGTGCATGTCAGGATGGTCTGTACAAAATGTATGTGGGTTTCCTGGAAAGCCCAGCTCATTTAAAAATTAATCAATTTGGACAAAATTACCTGCTGGGGGAGGCTTGTGCAGATTTTCTAACCCTGGAGGGATCTTGCCATGGGTGCACCTGTCTGGAGATGGGATTGCTCAGTGCTGCTGAAGGTCAGAGCCTGTTAAGTGTCCCCAAGTTGGACAGCAAGGTCGCGAGCAAGGTGGGAAATTCTGGCTCCAATTTTCCTTTTCAGATCTGATATCCAGGCAGGTCTTCCTCCCCGTCTGCTCACAGGTGGCCCTTCCTCACCCATTGCAGTGTGCTCTGGAGGGGCGCACCTGAAGCTGTCATCCTGGCCTTGGTTAGGAAGGGTCAACGAAGGGCAAGGGATGTCTTGGGATGCATTGGCTGATCCTTTCAAATCTGCCTCGGCTCAGCCCCTGCGCCAAGCAAAGTGCTGGGTTTTTGGCTTGAAGGAGGTCAGCAGAAGCTGCCAGGTCCTTGACGTCTCTAAGGACCGAATCCCAGGGATGCGGCCCCCAACTCTGGTCTTGGTGGCCATGGCTCTGCAGAGCCAGCGGGGTTTAGGGAACCCTCAGCTGTGGGTGCATAGCATGGAGGGGCTGGGAGAGGAACCCCATTTCTGGTGTGAAATGGCCTTGGTGCAAACTATGAATACAAATGGCTTTGGAAAAGGCGAGGCTGGGGCTCTGGTTGTTTTCTAGGGCTTCTGGAAACAGGGGACTGGGATGACCTGAGTAGCTCTTGCTTGTCACCCGGGGTCCTCTGCACTGGAGCACCTTGGGGTGGCACCAGCTGGCACTGCTCTCACTGGCTCCTCTCTTCTTCTCTCCCTCACCGTGTCCTGCAGGACCACATCCCGGTGCCCTACCAGCCAGATTCCAGCAGCAACCCCTCCTCCACCACCTCCTCCACACCCTCCTCGCCGGCCCCGCCGCTGCCGCCCAGCGCGACGCCCCCATCCCCCCTGCACCCCTCCCCGCAGTGCCCGCGCCAGCAGAAGCAGTTCAACTTGCCAGGTACCGTGCTGGGTTCCCCATGGGCTCCCCGCCTCCACATCTGCCCGATGAAAGGGGCTCGTGCCCCAGGGTGTCCTCAGGGTAAGGATCTGCTCCATCTGCTTGCCTGCCTGGACTTACACTGGGATGGGGAAAAGTTGGAAGCAGAAATGAGCAGCAAAGACGAGTTTAGGACAATTCAGGTTGGGAGGGAGCTTGGGAGTCTCTAGTCCAGCCTCCTGCTTGAAGCAGAGTCAGAGCTCAAGGCTCGATCCAGTTTGGTCTTGAAAACCTCCAAGGATGGAGCCAGCACAACCTCTGTGGGCAACCTGCTGCACTTGAGGCTACAAAAACCTTTCCAGGCATGACTCCTCCGTGGCATGTGCCCACTGTGTTGCCTCAGCAGCAAACGGGAAACAAGGGTAACTTGGGTTGACTTCACTGTGTCTTTGGGGTGATGCTGGCAGCGTGCATGGGGTGATAGTGGGGAGTCGCTGATGCTGGGGGTGTTTGACGTAGCTTGTCCCACCAAGTCTTGTCTGGGTACCTGGGATCCATCTGCTCCTGGAGCTCAGTCTCTTCAGGGAGGGTGGAAGAGGTAATTTGGTCATGGTGGCTGCAGGACACAGGATTTACATTCAGTGGCCAAAAAAGCCCCTCCTGGCCTGAGGACGTACCAGTGCCTGCCCCAGCGCAGCTGCCTTCGGGATGTCCTTGGGGCAGTGCTGCTGCTCCAGGGAAGGTCCCTTCCTGGAGGGGGATGGCTCAGCATCACTCCTGGCAGCGTGGAGGGGATCAGCTGTCCTCAGCCACCCGCCTGCCTCTCCAGCTGCTCCCAAAAAGGGCCTGGCGAGGGGAGAGGAGGGGGAGCCATGGCCCTGACCCATCTCTGAGATCCTGAAACACTCCTGGCTGGCCTGGGGATGGTGACCCCCTGTTTGGTCCGTGGCCTTGAGCTTCTTTGACGGGGCAGCAGCCAGGAGGTTGGGGTCCCTCCAGCATCCAAAAAACCTCCAGGGTTAACGAACTGGTCCAGGTAGGGAGGAGGGTCGGGACTGCTTCTACGGAGGAACCAGATAGCACCTTCATGCTCTGCTGATCTGCTGCACCGTGGTGATTCCTCCCTTCTGTCTTGACGAGCCTTCAGCTAGAGAGGAGGAGGAGGGAGGTGAGGGGGGATTTGACTGGCAGGATCGCATCACATCACATCACCACAATAACAAACATTTCCAAAAGCTGGAAAAAAAATAAAACCCAAAGAACACAGGTCCTTGTGTGCCCGGAGAGGCTGCAGCCGCGCACAAGTCTTGCTCGCTGGAGTGCCTGGGGCTCAGGCAGGATGCTGGAGGGGCACGAGGAAAACAGTGGAGGAGCTGTGAGGAAGCATTGGGCATTGCGAGGACTGATGTGACCCATCTGGCGAGGAGGGGCTTGGCTCCTGCTCCCCAGGTTGGGATCTCACCAGCCGCAGCCCTCGAGCCTCCAAGTGCTGGGAGGGGATAGTCCACAGCGTGGCTGCAAACCTGAGAGCACGGCGTGGGTTTCTATGCCGGTATGACCAAGTTCACGGTGGTCCAGCCAGAGCCAAAGCATCTGGCAGCCCGATAGCCGGGCTCGCAGCGATTAATGTCCCCAGACCGCTTGCTGGGCAAGCCTGGACCCTGCCTGGGTCTGGGGGGAAGGGACAGAGGGTCCAGCATTTGGTGACCCTGTCATGCATCACTTCTGGAGCAGAGACCTCCCTGCAGATCTTTTGAGACGTGATTTCATGTTGTTTAAAGCAGAAACCACAGAAGTAACCCCCACAGTGGGCAGCAGCATCTCCTCATGGGGACCCGGACATGCTGTCGCTGCCGCCACAGCTGAGCCAGCGCAGGGACCCCCTGGCACGCTTGCCCGGCCAGCAGGGATGGAGCGGGGCAGGATCAGACCCCGGCAGCTCTGAGGGGGCTGCTCCCTGCTTTAATGCCTGTGATGAGCGGAGCCCTGTGGCAAACAGGAGCTGATCTGACACAAAGCAGGACTTACCGTGCTTTCATCTTCCTGCGCGGGAAGTTCTCATCTCATCGAGATGGTCATCTTGGGGATTAGGATTTGAGCTTGGAAATTGCAACACGGTGACCTTTTTCTGCCAGAATTACCTTCGAGTCTCCTTTGATCTTGGCTCAGGGCTGCTCAGGTCCCACTGCAGAGCTGAGGTCAGTCTTCGGGGTCTTGAAGCTGGAGAGAAGCTGAGGGACAGTCTTTGAGGTCTTGAAGCTCAAGGAGAAGGTGCCTTCTGAGCTGGTGCTAACCTCTGGTGGCCTCAGCATCTCTGTCTTGCTTCATACCCATGACCTGCATGCCCTGAGTCAAATCAGCCCTCGGGCTTTGCCCGCTGGCGACAGGGAGACGATGGAGGGTACCACCACCCAGAGCCTTTCTGCAGCGCTGGCTTTGGGCAGCGGCTCCTGGGGCTGCTGCCAGCCGCCAGCTCCTTTCGGTGCTCCGGGAGGGAGGCAGCCAGCCCAGGAAGGAAGCGTCTCTGAAGCATGGCAAAAATGCACGGTTAGATGGGCTGGATCGGGCAAAAACGGGCAGCAGCTGCAAATCCATTGCTTGGTGTCTCCATGATGCCGAGCGGTTCCTGAAGGCCGGGCGGGAGCCAAGCACTGCTGGCAACCAGGTGTCCAAATCCCACCAGCAACTTTGCAGATGACATCAACACTCTCCAAATGCATCAGCAGTAGCTGATGGTGGCAAACATGAAGTTATAATCCAGCCAGATCGTTAGAGGGCTAAGGTCTTAATTTTTTGGCCTGGGCACCCTATGTGCCATCGTGGGTGGCATCCTCCGGAGAGATGGAGGTGGGAGAGGTTGGGTCATGCAGGGGGGGGACCCGGACCTGGGGCTGGCATTTCATGGTGCAGGACCGGGAGCAGGTCAGAGGTTCTCCAGCGTCTGGCTCTGCAGGTCGGTGTTTAACCCCCCTTTTCTCTTTTCCAGCTTCCCATTACTACAAGTACAAGCAGCAGTTCATTTTCCCGGGTAAGTCTCTTCGAAAGTCTCTCCTGTAACGCGGGGTGCTGAGATATCCCTTAGGGGGGTGGGTGCACGGCCGGCTCTCCTAACCCCTGGATTTGTGCAGGGGGGTTGTGCTGGGGTGGGATTTCTCCCCAAAACTAGTATATTGTTGCAGGACCGTGCACTACTAAGATGCTGCAGGGCTGGGTGGCCCTAAGTTATACCCAGCTATAGCTAAGGGTGTAACTAAATTGGACCTGGGGACGAAGGGAGGTTTTCAGTGGGATTTAGTTCCCCTGGGTGCCCCTGGCACTGGAAGGGGCTCCTGGTGCCTCCCAGCCCGCTCTCACTCCGCTCTCTTCTCCCCAGACGTGGTGCCCGAGACGCCGACCCGAGCCCCGCAGGTGGTCCTCCACCCCGTCAACTCCAACCCCATGTGAGTGCCTCCCCCTCCTCCCGGCTAACTTCACCTTCCCCTCCCCAGGCAGCGCATCGTGTGCACCCCACCTCCTCCGGGCACCCATGGGTGGTCCCCTGGCTTTGCAGGACCAGTTTGGGGCTCAGGGATGCCCTTTGGGCAGGTTGGAGTGGATGGTCGTGGTGACCCCCCGGTGCTCCTGCTGCCCTAACCCAGCTCACGGCTCTGGCTTGTGTCTCGGGGAGGAGAAGGGTTGAAAGGAGAGGGCAGGGGATTGATTTATAACCCACAGCAATGCACCCACCCAGCGCTTCGCCCTCGGAAAAAAAAAAAGACTCTCAGTCTGAGAAACTAAAGCCCAAGCGATTAATCTTTTACTGAATTATAAGCAAAGAACCAGGGTCTTTGAGATAGTTTTAATAAAGGCGGTTCTTGCAGCCCCACCTGTAATATTTTGAAGTCCAATAAACTTTGCGCTGAAATGAGTTTTGAAATGCAGTATCTAATCGGCGTTAGGACTAGCTCTCCCCAGCAGGTCGGGTCTGAGCTGCTCCGCTGAATCTGGCCTTCACCAAGGTCCTCGCGCCTGTGCTGCCCTGGCAGCATCCCGCAGCCATGTTACAGTTCAGGGTTGCTTGCCGGTCCTTTTTATAAATGCTGTTTGTGAAGGATTTCACAAGCCAGGAGTTTAACAGAGAGGGTCTCGCTCCAGGCTGTGATGGGGTTTGTGTCCGGCTCGCCCATGCGCTCCGAACTCTGTTGGCAACTGCCGGGGGGTCTGGCGGATCTCATCTCTGGGGGAGGCGATGGGAGGGATGGGGACGGAGCCGCTGTCCCCGCCGGTGGCTGGCGGCCGGGAAATGAATGGCAAAGTGGTGAAGTCAAAGCCTTTTATTTTCTTTTTTTTCCTTCCCTGCCCAAAGCAAGGTATCAGGCGTAGGGCTGGCAGGCTTTGGTGGGAAAATAGCTTTCAATATGCAAAATCTGTTATTCTCCTCTTGCTCGCCCCACTGAAAATAGCCCGTGGGAGCTGCTGAGGTTACCCCGGGCTTGGCTGGGTTAAACAGCAGACTCTGCTTCGGATACTCGGGAGACAGGTATTCGTGCCTGGGTTAAAGATCAGGCAGGAGGAAACTACTGCTCCTGCAAACCTCCTGTGCATCGTGGCGGGCGGCAGAAGCCGTCTGCATCCACCTGGGCTTTCTATGCTGCTTAGAATATCAGGGTCAGCTCCTTTTGTATATGCAACTTGTCTTCCTTGGGATTTATAGCTCTTTAGTGGCAACTGGATGGCACAGGATTCACGGGACCACCGCGTGCGAGTGGCTTAGGGAGTGTTATGCCTCTCCTGTGATCCTTGCTGCCTCTGGGAGGGGACGCTGTTATTTATGTTATTGATAGTAATAACTTATAATATATTTATATTGTGTTCAAAACCACCCGAGCTGCTCCAGCTCATCTTCCTCACGGAATTTCCCTAATTCCCTGTCAACTGTCGGGTGCAGCGGGACCCTGGTCATGGACCTGGTGGGGGGAGGTGCTGTGTAAGCGGAGAAGAAAAAGAGGAGCTCCTGGCCCAGGGAGCTGGGAAACTAGACAAATTTGGGTGCTCTTATTGCAGGAAAAGTCTTTGAAACCTCCACTTCTCAAAAATAATTGAAAAACCCGTTTTCTTCTTTTATGGCTGCTAATCAGCTGCGCTTGTTGCTTTGGCTGGTGTTTGTTGGGAAGGTAATTCTGATCTTGGAAACCACCTAAAAATGCCGTGAACGCGTGCCCCAGTGCTGCCCCGATATGGTCAAAAGCTGCGAGGGTGTAAATCTGTCCCTTACCCTGGGTTAACCGGGGGTGACGCCTCCCAGGGCGCACAGCGATGGTGCATCCTCCGCGCCGTGCGCTTTGGGCGACGGGATGGGGACCCGGTCGTGTGCTCCCACATCACCAAATCCATCCTGGAACTTCACGCATCCAATATTAATTGATGCAATAATGACTATTGCGCGTTCCTGCTATCCTCACCCCTCCCGTGCGAGCACCCAGGGCCGTCCTCAGGGACAGAGGCAGCCAGGGTGTGGGTGGGAAGGGGTTGCTCTCCCAAATTAGCAGCGAGCCTGGTACTTCTCCTCCCTGATCCCTTTAGTCCTGGTGCAGAGCGATGCTGCGGGAAGCAGGACTCGATGCCTGCGCGTGCTCCCCACCTAACCGTGTTTTTACCTGGCGGTAATTCAGTGATTCTTTTAACAGCCTGGAAGGAAACCCATTGCTTCAAATTGAAGTGGAGCCCACCTCGGAGGTGAGATGGCTGGGCTCGCTCCTCTGCTTAATGGGCCTTTATTTTATGTACATCTTGGGGCACATTTCACAGGAACCAGATAAGTTTAGCATCTGTGCGGTGAAATTGCTGATAATTGAATTAATGGCCAGGCCTGATCCTGCCCAGGCATCCGTGTCCCCACCCCGTGAAGAGGGACGCTGATGGGCTTCGCGGCTGCCTTCAAATTTATAATTCAATGAGTTTTTCTGAGATGCATTAAAAATGTGGTGGAGGGGAAGGGGTGAAGGGTGAGGACGGGGATGCAGCTTTTAATGGGCATTGTAAATCCTGTAGAAAGCATATACAGAGCGTCAAGAAAAAAGCCAGACCTGTCCCGGGGGGCTGGGGGCTGCAGACTGGGGAGCGCTGGGTCGGGAGCAGTCGGTATTAGCAGAGCACGGCTCAGCAGGGGTAGGATGAAACGCTGCTTTCAGACAAATGAATTGTGTCGCTTTCTTATATTTAACCCTGGGGTAAATAAACGCCCCCCTGCAAAATCTGGGTTTCTGCTGGCTTTGCATAAAGCGCAGCCGCCCGGTTGCCTTTGGAAGGTACCTGCCCGGTTTCTCTGGGTCTGAGTGAGCAGTAGGTGCATCAGTGGGGTTTTGTCCACGTCATCTTCCTTGGCCACAGTTTTTTTTTCCCCCGTTTTATTATGCTCACCTCCCTTTGCCCCCCCTGCAGAATGAGGAAGGCACTGAGGAGGCGCAGGAGTCCGAGGATGACTTTGAAGAGATGAACCTCTCGCTCCTCTCCGCACGCAACTTCCCCCGCAAGGCCAGCCAGACCAGCATCTTCCTCCAGGAGTGGGACATCCCCTTCGAGCAGCTCGAGATTGGCGAGCTCATCGGCAAGGGCCGCTTCGGGCAGGTCTTTCACGGGCGCTGGCACGGGGAGGTGGCCATCCGCCTCATCGACATCGAGCGGGACAACGAGGACCAGCTGAAGGCCTTCAAGAGGGAGGTGATGGCGTACCGGCAGACCCGGCACGAGAACGTGGTGCTCTTCATGGGAGCTTGCATGAGTCCTCCCCACCTTGCCATCATCACCAGGTAAGCTCCGACGTCTCATGCTCAGCCAGAATAATTTTTTCTTTCCAAAACACCTTCCTGCAGTCAAACATTACCGGGAGGCAAGGCTGGCCCTAGCAAAGAGATGTTCTTCATCTGCTGTGACTTGTGCTGCGAAGCAGATAGCAATCCCATTTAAGTGAGTCCAGGCAGATCCATCTCCTGTAGAAGTGGAGCTTGAGACAGGAATGGTTTGTTTTAACCAGGGACAGGAATGATTTGTTTTAACCAGGAGGGATGTAACCTGGTGGGATCAGCAGCTTCTGTTCTGGGGGTTTTGTTTTGGTTTTTTGGTGGTTTTTTGCATGGTGCCCTGGTCAGGTCCCTGGATGGGTGATGGGGTCTGGACCCTGCTGGAGCACTGCCACAGCGTGGAAAAGCCTCTAATTGCGTAAAGCAGCTGGCCACATGTAGACACCAGGTTTCATCAATAACTTGGTGCTGTGAAAACAGCTCGGGTGTCTGAAGGCTTAGCAGGATGCAAGTGTTAGGTCCAATGGTCTGTGAAATGGCCAGAAGAGCAGCAGAGGTGGGAAAACTGGGTGCTTGCAAGGAGAGCTGGTGCCCCATGAGACTGGAGCCTGACCATGGGAGGTCTCCTCGCTCCTGAGGATGTGGGAAACCTTGCAAGATAAGTCACGGTGTCCTGGAGCTTTTCTTCCCTTTCCCAAAGCTGTTGTCTCTATTACACGTAAAACTGGGTATGGGACTAATGAGTGAGTTTGGGACGGGGCCAGGGGAGGGAGGTTGAGGTCTTAAAGATCTGCTGGCTGGGTGGCTGGTGATGCTCGGGGACATTGCAGCAAAGTGCAGGAATGAGACTGTCGGAGGAGGCTTCTTGCAGCTGGTTGGGAAGCAAGTTGGGATTTGGGGTCTCCCAAACCATCCCAAACACTCCAGAGCTGCCTCGGTCTCAAGGAATTGCCACGTGCCCGCTGTCACCCACGCGCCTGGCGGGAAACGCAGCACCGAGCATCCCGGCGTACTCCTTGCACGGGTGGGCAAGCACAAAATCCCTGCTGGCCTCGAGGCGGGGAGGCTGCAGCCGATCCCAGAGCAGCTGTCGTCATGTGAAATACATTTATTTCTGAATATTCAGTTATTTCCCTCACCTCTAGACCATGTATTCAGCCGCGGGGCTTGATGTGGTGCTGCTTTGCATCCCGCCATGAGTCACCTTCTCTCGGAGAAGTTTCCCCAAGGTGAGGTTGAATTTCCAGCCTCCTCCTGGCAGCGTTTCAAAAAGCCTGTGCTGAAACGGCAACGCTTCTGACAGCCATTAGCAGTGAAATATTGCATCATCCCTTCCTAATGTCCCCTTAAAAGCAGCACCTCCCGGCCCCTCGGTCCCAGCTGGGGTGGCTCTTGCGGGTGCCGGGGTGGGGGCTTTGCTCTGCTCTCCCTCTTGCTCAACAGCGAAGGATTTCAACCCAAATTTGTGGCTCCTCATGCCATCGCTTGCTCCCTGCCCCCGTGGGTTCATGGGCTGCATTTGGCTCAGGAGTTGCATCCCTCGGAGACAGGGTGACTCCAAACGGCGGCTGGCTCTCCCCAGCTGGGGACGGGGAAAAATAGGCTTTTTATTTTGGACCAAAAATAGTCATCTGGGAAAATTCAGCAGCGTTTCAGATCTCCATCTATTAGCTAGCTTCAGGCCAAAAGCTTTTTGAAAAGTGTGCAAACACACGTATTGATCGATGCGTCAGAGACCCCATCCATGTGTTACACCGGGCAGCATTGCCGCCTCTACCCAGATGAAAACGCAGCTTCTCCGTCCCACTCCGCTCCGCGATCCCTTTGCAGCCCCTATTTCCTCAGCTTTTCAATCCTATTCAATATCAAAACCTGGGCAATGTATTCTTTTTTTTTTTTTTTTTTTTCCAAAAAAGCGTTTTTTATTTTAATGCCTCTTT